CGCCCGGAGCCGCCCCCCCCTTTGCATCCCGCCCCCCCGGTCTGTCCGCAGCCCCCCCCCAATGCACCCCGCGGAGGGGGGCGAATAAATCCTACCACAACAAAGGGGACTGGCCGAGGGGGAGGGGCTCCCCGGCCCCCCTCATGCTCGGTGATCTAAGGGGGGCCCCCCATTGCCCCCACCCCCCCAGCTTTGGCTCCAATCTCCAGCCCCCTCGTCCCCCCAATGCTTGTAGGGCTCTGCTCCCTGCCGGGCCTGCGGTGGGGCAGCTCCCGAAACCAGCCTCCCCCTTCCTCCCCCCCCATGTCTGCACCCCACTGCCCTGGGGAGCCCCCCCAGAAAGGCAGCCGGGCGGGGGGGGCTGGGGAAACCAGCCAGATCTCAGCGGAGGCAAAGAAACTTACCAGGAATCCCGGCTCGGCCTGGCCCCTTCGCAGGCACCGACCCACCCCTCCCTGGGGTGGCTCTGGGTTTTTTTGGGGGGGTGGGGGGTCCCCCAGAGACTTGCGAGGGGAGGGGGAGCCGCTTACCTGCTGGGTAGCCATGGGGCTGCGTGGGATCCGCCGTGGGTCACGGTCTCTTCCATGGGGGGGTGGTGGTGTGGGGTGGGGTGGGGAAGAAACTGCAACCAACCCAGACTTTTGTTTCCTTGGGCCCTACGGCGTGGGGGGCGGGTGGGTTGGGGGGGCTCGGAGGCGGCCTCTGAGGTGCAAAGTGGGGCACCCCCTCCTCGCCTCAACCTGATCCCCACCCCAACCTGACCCCCACCCCCTTTACCCTTCACGGCTCTCTTGTCCTTGGAGGAGGAAGGGGAGCCGATGCCGAGTGCGCCCCCTCTCTCCAGACCCCCCCGGGGGGCACCCCCAAATCCTCAGCACCTCCTGGGCTTTTTAGGGGGGGGATCTGAGCTGCCCAACCCCTTCCAAAGAGGAACCAGGTCCCACCCCTCCTCCCAACCCCCCAATAGGAATCAGGGTCCCCCCCTTTCCAACCCACCCCAAGTAGGGCTCAGCCGCCCCCCTCTTTCCAAGCCGCCCCCCCAATAAGAAGCAGGGCCCCCTCTTTGCAACCCCCCCACCCCAATAGGGAGCAGGTCCCCTGCTCTTTCCAAGCCCCCTCCCCCCGCTTAGGGAGCAGCCCCCCCC